TCGTCGTTGCTCTGATGACCACCAAATCTGTGGTGATGCGCAAGAGCCAATGCCGTGACCAAACAAAGTGATATTAATAAATTCCCCCTATTTCACCCAGTTTGCCATTTATACGCGCGCACACACACCCACATAGAGGGACACACAACAAGAAGGACAATGTGTTGAAAAGATTATAAGCAAGGAAGCAACTGGAAACAAAGCAACCAACCAACCAAGTTTTATATTTCTTGTAATGTTCGCTTAGGATGGCTTGCAGGGAAATGATATTACCGAAAGCGTTTCACTTCTTCCACAAATGAATGCATGGCGAAGGAAGGACATCAAAGGAAATCTTGTCCAAAGCAACATTTTTGGTTTCCCATTGTCTTTGCAAGGTATTCCTTAGATTCCTCTTCGTGTGTGGGGGCCGCTAACAAAGAATCGTTGAAAGAAGTGCCCAGCGGAAATGTCTTTGCATTGTTAGAATGCAATTACAGTTTGAATTTTATGTTCTCTACACTGCTCTTCGTTGGTCATTCGCAGAAACAAGTCCTTGAACAATTAACCTATTATAGAACGGCAGTTGGTTCTTCCCTATTACCCAATGTTTAATATTGTGCCGACAACTACTGCCTCTGCTGTTGCAATTCATTAGCTGTGCTGTTCTGCTAAGGGGGAAGTCGTATAAATTGATTTAATAAGTTCCAGTGGTATTTGCTTGGCTTTTAATTTTCTTGGAAAAAATTGTGTTTAGAGAAGTTGTTATTCAAACGCAAGTGAATATTTCCAATATTCCAATATATATTTGATCCTTTCAGTTTCAGATACCAATGGATACCTTAATATCACATTTGAGGATTCCAGCCCTATTACCTCACCCAAAACCAAATTTTGTACCACTTAGTTCTTTTCGAACAATTATACTACAATTTCCAAAACTACCTACACCAATAGCAACATCTATATCAAATTCCAAGATTTCAGTTCTATCCTTTCAGTCAATACATAATTTAGTATCATTTACCAATTTTAGAACCATTTCACATAGTACACATTTCCAAAACCACCTACATATCTCAATACCAAATACCAACGCAGACCTAAATATCAAATTTGAGGATTACAGCCCAATTCCTTCACCGAATCCTTCGCCATTTAGTACTTTTCAAAAAAATAAAGTATACATTTTCAAAATAATCTCCATATTTCAATTCAAGATACCAACACAGACCTTAATATCAATTTTAAGGATTCTAGCCCAAATTCCTCACCCAAAACCAAATACAGTACAGCTTAGTACTTCTAGAACAATTATAGCACAAATTTCCAAAACCAACATCATATTCTAACCGCCGACACCAACAGCGACATCCATATCAATTTTCAAGTTTTCAGCTCTATCCTTCCACTCAATACTAAATTTAGTACCATTTAGTACTTTTCGAACAATTATAGTACACATTTCCAAAATCACCTGCACATCTTAATTCCAGATACCAAAGAAGACCTTAATATGAAATTTGAGAATTGCAGCCCAATTCCTTAACCCTAAACCAAATTTAGTAGTTTTACATATTTTCAAAACCACCTCCAAACCTCAATCCCCGATAGATCTCAATTTCAAATTTTCAGTTTAACTCATCACCCAATACCAAATGTAGTACCATTTAATTAATTAATCCGTATAATTATAGTAAATATTTCCGAAACAACCTCCATATGTAAAGGCTATACACGAATAGCGACCCTAATGCCAAATTTCAGATTTCAAGCACTATCTGTTCACACAATACAAAATTGTGCCAAATATGGTACTATTTAATACCCATAGTGAACTATCACAAACCTCGAAATTTCAGCTTAATCCGTTCACCCCAAACCAAATGTAATATTTCCAAAACCACCTTCATACATCTAACTTATCATCCAACATTGATTCGTACCAAATTTTTAAGCTCTATTTTTATTACACTTTAAATCTGTACATATCATTTTGGTACGAAACACATTACATTTCTTTTAAATTTTATGGAATGAAAGCAAAAAATGTCGGAAATATCATCAAATTTTAGAAAAAGTTTATATTTGTTCGAATTGGTCACGTTCGGCACGAATTATGGCCTTCAAACGGCCAATGAACCCATCACACACTGCCCGAATGTTGCTCTGCGGTATTTTGGCCCAATCTCGGCGAAGCGCTTCGGTATTTTAGTGCCAAGCTTGCTTTCCAAAATACTCCAGACACAATAGTCCAACGGATTGGTATCCCGAAATTTTGGTGGCCATTGTTCACTGAAACTAAAGCGAGGAACCTCATTTTGTAATCATTCTTGGGTGGCGCGTGCTGAGTACGATGGTGCTGATTCCTGTTGAAATGTCCAAGGCCTGCGGACAAATTGTTTGCGTGCCCAAGGCTTTATTACACCCTCCAGAACATTTTCGCGATAATATTTGACAATTATTTTGATGCCACTGTCGATTAATACGAGCGGAGAGCGACCATCGGCTGTAATGGTGGCCCACACCATCACCATGGCCGACGCTTGAGTTCTGGTGGCCAACCAAAGGTGCACATTTTCAGCTGACATCTTTGGCAAGTAAACACGACCATTGTGTTCGTTTACAAACTGCTGGACGACGAATGTTTTCTCATCGATTAAAACCAAGCTCGGCAGTTCACCAATTTTGGGCAAGCGAAGCAACTCTTTAGCTCTTTTGAGTCTATTTTCTTTCTGTTGCGGTGTAAGTTCTTGCACTTTTTGGAATTTCAATGGCTTTACCCCGAGCTAATTTTTCAATATTTGCCGAATGAAATATTTCGATATGTTCAGCTCAGGAGCCATTTTTCGGCCTCTGAGACCCGGGTTTAGATAAGTCGCTTCTTCATTCGAACCATTTTTGCTGATGTTTCTGTTTTCTTCCGTTCACTTCCTTGACGTCGGGCTACGATACCAGTATCACGGGTAATGAGCGATGGTACGAGACAAAAAAGATTTATTCACATTTAAATGCTTGTGGTTTTCCAGCCAAATATAAAGAAATCACTTTTTCACGCTTGAATTCCATCACGAATAACTTTTTTTCTGGAAAATTCTCAGCAAAAATAAAAATATTGGCCAACTTCTCCTCATAAGAAAGTTGAGCTTAGAAATTTGACATAGTAGTTTTCATTGTGTCTAGGATGATTGGTACTGAAAATTAGGTATATCGGCCGGTATTCGGATTTTGATAATTTAAGTCACATTTTTTTACCGAATTGTTTGAGATGTTGGAACTATAAATGATGTATGATAAAAATTATCATACAATCAAGCCTGTCTTTTCAATTTGAATGACAAATCTTCCGTATTTAATTTGGTTCCTGGTGGTAGTTTGGTTAGTACTTTTTGATATGACATGTCCATGACATAAGGCATTATGATGCTGTTTTGTAAATAGTTAGTGGTGCAATATGTACTTGATAAACCCATTATTTTGTATTGGGATTTCTTGCAAGGACACAGTACACCGTGCCACAGTTACCAACATTTGCCGTTGGTATTTTATTTATAACTTTCACCATAGAATGGAGGATATATTAAGTTTGTCATTCCGATTGTAACACCTCGAAATATACATTTTAGACCCCACAAAGTTACCGTCCGTCTATCGGTCTATCCGTCTGTGGAATTCACTCTAGTTTCCGAACGAAATGAAGTAGGCTTATAAAACTTAACTCAAACGTATCTTATGCCTTCAGGACTTTTTGTATTGAAAATAGGTCATGTAGGTCCACGTTTTGGTATACCTCCCTATTATCGGTATATTGGAGATTTAATCGGCAAATTTGGTATTTGAAGTTAATGAAGAAAATTGTCTGTGCAGGTCCACGCCTTCATATAGCCCCCCCTATAGCGGCACCTACCGATATTCGATATTTTGATGATTTTAGCGACATTATTCATGGAATTATTTTAAATTTGGTATTTGAAGTTCGTAATGGATATATACAGCCTATGACTGAAAATTGTCTGTGCAGGTCCACGTTTTGATGTAGCCCCAATAATTTCGGTATTTTCATAATTTTAGCTACATTATTCACCGATTTTTTGCATGTTTTGCATTACCTTTTAATGGGTAAATCCGCTCATACGCTCCAATATCCAATTGTTTTAGCTGATGTGTGATATCTCACATAATTAAAATTCCTTTTTCCATCTTTAGATTTCCCCCCACTTATCATCTGGATTTCTAGTACCATTCCTATCATATTTCCCATAAAAATATTAACTAATTTAATAACATCTCCAATCTATTTGATGATTGCATCAATTAATATTCGAATTTTTCCAACAACAACATCAGTGCAATTAATAGCCAATTTATGTTTGACAACTTCTTTGCAACGAACAGATAGATCTATCTAACTATCGTCAGATAGCAATTGTAATCATTGAATAATTCAATTTATTCTAAAGAAGGCATAAAACTTTTCCAAGTAATCTGGTGGTGGTGGTGATGGTGATGGTAGGACAGGCAGGCAGCAAAGTGAACAAAAACCCAAGACAGATACTTCAAGAATATTGAAAACTGCTTAAGGATAATTGAAGCAAAGTGTAAAAGCACTAAGCACTGGAAATCTTTATTTTTAGGACACAAATGAAGAAGTCTCTTGAGGAGAATACTGCAAAAGAAAAGAACTGAATACTCTGTGTGTGTGGTTGTTTGATTGTGTTGAGTCAAACAAAAAGTGCTTTCGTTCGTAGTGACAAAATTAATTAAGTTAATTGATGTGAAATTTATTAGAAGTGAAATTTTTGCACAGTATTAGGCTTGACACTAACTACTGCTGCTGCTGTCTGTCTCTCTCTCTCTCTCTCGTTTGCAGAACTAATGATGGTCTGCTAGAGCAAATGAAATGAATTGAATTTGTGTAAAATAAGTGTTATTCAAAAATGATACTGCAGTAAAATGACCGAAACATTAATTTATGATATGCTTTCTTGTTTCTCTCTTCCCCTTCGACACTTTTCTAACAGGTCGTCTCCTTGAGTTCGTTCGAAGTCTGCCAGAAATACTCGAAAAGTTATTTAAATTAAACAATTTCGAAGTGGAGCGGTAGAAATGGCGCCAAAATTGACGCCATTTCCTTCAATGGTCCAGCAAAGATGGCATCATTTCAAAATTGTCACTTTGGCAATTGGAATTTTATTGACAACAACAACAATAACACCAACAACAGCCACAAAAACTACAGCAGCCCAAGGTATGTACAAAATTTATTTAAATAATTGGAATTTAATTGATAACCGTTTTTTTGGTCATGTTACACTATGCGCAAAAAAAACCCAATTGGGGACCCTTTTTCCTTTCAAATAAATAACGGCATTTTATGACATAAATTCCACATGGTTTTCATATGCAAAAATATGTGTGTATGAAATGTATTTATTTCATTGCAGCCACTAAAAAAATTAATTACATTTGAGGATATTTAGATATTTAGGTTGGCTGACTGAAACCGACTTTTCAGTTTGCTACATTGTAGTCGGGGGGATGGCAAAGATGGGCATTAAAGGCAAAGTTTTATTAAGGACACTCACGGATAGTACCAAACTAAAATTTTCTAAAATATGCGATTTATCGGTCCTAATTCTTTGAAATAGATCGTACAAAATCGTAAATTTTTTAATGGTTAACACGTCTTAGTATTATTCTAAAAATCCAAGATTGTCGGCAAAAAAAATTAAATAATCACGATTCTTGACCAGGACGTCCCTTATAATATGCCTATTGAAATATGTTTGACAAACAAAAAACATTGCTCCAAATCGGAAACATGGTCCGAAGACGATCTTTTGTGAGAATATGGCCAAATAAATGGACCAATAATTTCCGGATTTCGACCCAAGAGACATAGAATTCAAAACCAAAATTTCAGAAGTCTATGCAAACAGTAGTCCAAAAACAAAATCACCACAAACTTCCATTTCAAAATGATCCCAAACTTTGAGACTAATTGTATTACAAATTTTGGCCCCATTATATGTACTTTTTCTATTACCACAGTTTACCCCAAATACAATTTAATATTAGCTGGCACGGAATGCGTTCCGACCCGTACTTTTAGTTTTCAGTGCATATGAAGCACTATACTATAAATTACAATGTTTTTATAATAAGTAATGTCTCCATAGTAATTTCTAAATAGAAATAAATATTCATGGCAAAAATTATAATAGATGTTCACCTACCGTCGGTGTTAGATATTTTGTATAGCTTGATCTCATTTTTTAGTCATAGGCTTTAACTTGATATTATAACTTGGTATTGTAAAGAGCTTAGCAACATTTTTTATTCAAATGAGCTGTATTTTAAAATTTGCATTTCCAACATTTAGAATACTGTTCTGCGTGGTATATAGTTTTGTTCAGCTCAAAATTAAGGGCAGAATGATTTCAGAATAGTCAAAGATAATTTCTCTTTTACACTCATTACCGTAAGATGGGAATTAATTTTTTTTTTTTGTCGGTTAAATTGTGCGTTGGTATAATTCAATGACGATTGAAGTAATGTTCGGTCTCGTGTTAATTTCTAATATTCATAGCTTTCTCATGTTTCGGAGTTTATTTCATATAGACGTACATCCCAAATCTACGTTCCCAAGCAATATTCTCTTGGCGGTTAAAATTAAATAGAATACAAAATTGTCTTTTCTTACCACACATTTGTTGAGAAAGTGGACTTGGGGTACCCAAATGTGAGGGCTATATTTAAATAAATGCATATGTGGACTATTATATGTAAAATGGTTCTCTACCCGAGAATAGCCTAAATACAATGTTTAGCCAAATCAATTGATAAATGGCGTCATGATGGGCCCTACTCTGAAAATTTAAAATTTTATACGAACAAGTTTTCCTTCCCCTTAGAAACCAAGATGAAAAATAAGTGCAAAAAAATGAAAAAAATGTCCAAGACCCCGAAAATAGCTTAAATCATGGTTATACCAAAACGCGATCATTTTTTGCAAGGATGGTTTCTTCTCAAGTTGCCAACGTTTGTCGAATTTAGTATAAAAAATATTGTCAAAATGTAAAATATACTTGAAATCTGAAAGAAGTCGGTCATTTTTTTTTTTTTATTTTGAAGCACGATGTAGTTCCTGGATTTGGAAGCTAGATTTTTAATGTTATACATTATAGATCGTAATTTAACATCGTATTGCGCACTAATTTCATTTTTAATATTTGCATTCAGAATTTAAAACAAAACAAATATACGCTTCAATATAGTATGCTAAATTAAAAAAAAAATATGCCAAAAAAATAATTCTTTATTTTGTATAAAAAGCTATAAGTTCGGTCGGGCCGATATTTGAATACCCTCCACCATTTGGAACGATTTTGGCCATTTTCAAAACAATAAAATCCGTTAAAAGTCTGTTAATATCTTAAAAATACCGAATGTAGCGTTATATTAGGGTCTATACGACGACGTGGACCTGCATAGGCAACATAGGCAATTTTTGTCATAAACCATTACAATATTCAAATGCGAAACTTGAATAAAAAATCTATGAATAATGTAGCTAAAATCATCAAAATTCAGAATATATGGAGATACCGTTATATTGGGGCTATACAAAGACGTGGAGCTGCACAGACAATTTTCTGTCACAGGCTGTAGTATCCATTACGTACTTCAATTACCAAATTTGAAACAATTCCGGCGAATAATGTCGCTAAAATCATCAAAATACCGAATATCGGGAAGTGCCGTTATATGGGGCTATACGAAGACGTTCACCTGCACAGACAATTTTCTGTCATAAGCTATAGTACCCATTACGAACTTGAAATACCAAATTTGAAACATTTCCGGTGAATAATGTCGAGGTACTATTATATGGGGGCTATACCAAAATGTGGGCCTACATGATCCTGCAGACATAATACAGATTTGAATAAAATTTTATCAACCTACTTCATTTCTTTCGGAAGCTAGAGTGATTTCCGCAGATGGACGACCGACATACATAGCTAAATCGACATAGAATTTTATGCTGATATGAATATATATACTTTGTGGGGTCTAAAATGCATATTGCGAGGTGTTATAAATGGGATGACAAACTACAAATATAAAACTACAAACTACAAGTATAAAAACCACAAATATACATTCGAAAATAATAAGTCAAAATGGAAAAAATCATGCCATATAAAACATTACGATTGTACGTTTCCAAAGTCAAAATTAACATTTTCAAATTTCACATTTTTGTTTTTGGACTTCATCCTATTCTGCCAAGAAACAATTACGAATTTTTCTGAATCAGATTAGCGGTTCTTGAGTTATAAGCGTAGTAACTAACACAACTTTCTTGAATATATATAGATTGTATTGTATGGGGATGGCGTAGAGCACCGGGTTCAGCTAGTTTATTATAAATTAATTATATCCAAAGAGTTGCAAACAGTTGAAATGAATTAATAAGCACGTCAAAAATGTAGTAATGCCGTAGGACGAACAAAAACTTAACTCGAAAACGCTTTGTAACATAAATAATGCTAAAAATCTAAAACTTCGGTTTGTTTTTGTACTTCCGTTCCCATTTCAAAGAAAGACAATAATAATTTAATTTATTTGGCATAAACTGGAATGTATTGTTATATATTTCGATTTATTTGCTGGTTTTTTACGGCCAGAGGCCATAACAATTTTATATTAATTAAATGGCATTTTTCGTGATAAAATGAAAAACAAACCTGTGAAGCCAATGGGCAAAAAACAGAAATGCGAACAAAATCAATACAATATATACGTTTTTTGCTTTAAATTAAACCAAAAAACAAAAAACGTTGCTTTAACTGCAAGCCAAATACTTTTGGCATTCATAAACAATAATGATGACAACAATAAGACAAATAAATGAAATGGAAATTTTTAAATGTTGAACATTTTTAAACTTTGGCTGACAGCCGCAAAGAATTCACTTTAGGACACGTTTAAGGAAAATTGAGGTGAAAGTTATTCGTCCAAAAAAATACCCTACAACTAAAGTATTAAAATGCTTGTGGTATTTTATATCCCATTCGGTATCAACAGCCTTAACACAAAGAATTGTAAATATTGGTCTATATTTTTTTAAGCCCCTTTATAGAAAAATATATGCAAAACCCAGTAAAAACAGACCAAATTCGGCTTGGACAGACTTTATGATTCCCAAAACCACTTTGCATATATCGCTACATATAACAAAAAAAAAACCTTTTTATGGGCAATTTATAAGAATTAAACAAACTAACTATGACCGCGTTTGAATGCGTATTATGAATTCAAATCAGTTAAAATTTAAAGCCGAAATGAACTAATATATATCAGGATTCAAACGTATTCTGCTAAATTTTGAGGGAGACATTCGTGTCCGATAGTCGATATCAATAAAAATCCAACCTGTTTGAGCTCATATTACACTTTTTAGGCACAATAAATTTGAAATCGGGTAAAGATATATATGGGAGCTATATGCAAATTTGTACCGATCTCTATAAAATTTAGATGAGGTATTTCTTCAGGGTGAGATAAAAAACTGCAACAAAGTCAAACGCCATAATTTTTACATTTTTTTAATTTTATTTGAGTTCTGTTGGCCAACCGAAGGTGCACATTTCAGCTGACCTCTTTGGTAAGTAAACACGATCATTATGTTTGTTTACAAACTGCTGGTCAATGAATGTCTTCTCATCGGAGACGGAGAAAACCAAATTAGGCAGTTCACCACATTCGGCCAAGCGAAGCAACTCCTTATCTCTTTTGGGTCTATTTTCTTTCTCTTGCGGATTAAGTTCTTGCACTTTCCGGAATTTCAATGGCTTACCCTGAGCTCATTTTTCAATATTTGCCGAATGGAATATTGCAATATGTTGTTCAGCTCACGAGCCATTTTTCGGCCACTGCGACGCGGGTTTCGATCAAGTCGCTTCTTTACTTTTCGAACAATTTTTGCTGATGTTGTTGTTTTCTTCCGACCACTTCTTTGACGTCGGGCTACGCTCCCATTATCACGGTAACGAGCGATGGTACGAGACACAAAAGATTTATTCACATTTAAATGCTGGAGTGCTCTAACAGTAGCCACTTTTGGTATTCCAGCCAAATATAAAGAAATCACACTATCACGCTTGAATTCCATCATGAATATTTTTTTTCTGCAAAATTCTCACCAAAATGCGCCGACTAAGGTGATTGGCCGCCATATCA